ACCTGTGCCCCACTGGGCCAAAGTCCTGATAATAGACTACATGTCGAAGATCTTCTTTGTGTATGAGGTAGGGGAGAACTGTACCACACCTGAAAGTGACCGAGGCACATTGTTCTCTGAAGACCCACTGGCCAGCCTTGAGAGAGATGGGTATTTTGACAAAGGGTTTTATGGAGACTGTCACCATGATGACAGAAACCGCAGTCAGTTTAATGGGTACAATCACAGAGATCACCGGCATTGGAATGGGTACCATCACAACAACTGTGACTATCGACAAAAGAGGCATAACCAGCAAAGGAGGACCCGCTCATCTTCAAATTCCCCTATTCGACAGAATGCCCATCATCCAAAATACACACACTACATTGGCCGAGATGGAAGTGAAAAGCTCCCACTGACAAGCCAGGAGAAACTCAAAGATAGCAAACTTTCCATTCCAGAAAAACTTACTGGATACACCTACGATCATGGCAATGGTTATCTCAATGGAGTTGGGTATCACCACGATAATAGCTACAGCAAAACCTTTGGAGCAGATAGTTACAATAAGACCACCACTGGCACAGGATGTGTATGCATCTGTGGCCAACATCAGAAAGTGGTGCGGAACATTGAGTACATATCTAACTGTTTCAGAGAGCAGAGGGCACACCAGGCCAAAGGGGCCGAGTGGAAGAAGGTTGCCAAGGTGATGGACAGGTTCTTCATGTGGGTGTTTTTCATCATGGTCTTCCTCATGAGTATCCTTGTCATGGCCAAGGCAACCTAGACCGTTTACACCTTAAAGATGTAATGAACTGATATTTCATATTGGCTAACACTATGTGTCAAAAGACCAGTTAGTTACTGATTGTTCTTTTTTTTTTTTATCAAACATTAATTCCTATAATCTTGTATTTGTTGGCAAATGGGCTCATGTTCTACATTCAACTTAATATGTGGGTTACAGTTACTGCACGAACGTTGTTGTTTGAATGTCTCATTTTCTTCATTGTTTATTTCATTCTTTACATTCAAGAAGATTCTCTAGTTGTAACAGTTAAAGAAAAGGCATTCATATTTTAGGTGTAGACATGTTCCCACATGTGTATGTAGAGTAACACAATCTTTGTCTGGCATGGAGAAACATTAATAATGCACAATTAACCCTGCACATGCGCATGGACAGACATCCACACTAATGCACATTAAAAATGCATAAATAGACCAGTCTTGAATGTTGATCACACACACACACACACACACACAGTGTAAAACTAGCATCCTTGACCAATGCTAACATAGTATCTCATCAGAGAAATCATCATTCTGCAATTTCTGTATTTTCTTATTTCTTTGATTTGCTGTGCTTGTTCCTTGCTTTGGTCTCTGCTTCTATTATTCT